AGACAATATTAGTAAATATTAGTATCACCACAACAATCATAAGAAAAATAGGAACACCATGAAATCTAGAAGAAAGATGCAAAGCAAAAGCGATAGCTAGTAAATAGGACATGCACTGAAAAGCGAAATAGTAAGCCACAACATTGCCACTAGCTATCTTAGACAAAAACCCTACATGACTAGTCCCACAATGGTACGAAGTAAGGCACGACTCAACTACCTCCTAACCTACAACCCTAATACTCGACCTCCACATCTTCCTATCAAGTGTCATGTCCTCGAAAATCAGGAGCCTCGCCATATCCTGCCTGATCACCTCTCCCCAATACTTCTTAGGCCGCCCTCTACCTCTTCTCGTGCAATCCACAACCAGCTGCTCACACCTTCGTACCGGAGCATCTGGGCTTCTCCTCTGAACATGTCCAAACCATCTAAACCTCGCTTCCCGCATCTTATCATCAATGAGAGCCACATGCACCTTCTCCCGGATATTATCATTCCTAATCTTATCTATCCTAGTGTGCCCGCATTCATCGCAACATCCTCATTTATGCTACTTTCATCTTCTGGATATGTGAGTTCTTAACGGGCCAATACTTAGCCCCATACATCATGGCCGGTCTAACCACCGCTTTATAAAATTTACCTTTGAGTATCGGTGGCACTCTCTTGTCACACAGGACTCCAGATGCTAACCTCCACTTCATCCATCCTACCCTAAAAACTGGTTTAGGACAGTTTTTGGGTGAAAATTTTTCTTCCACTCACAAAATTTCAAATTTTCTTCAAATAAAATGCATGTGTAAACAGAACTTCAACTTTCAAAATTATTTTTTAACACAATTTCAAAAGATCTTTTTTTCAAGTTTCAATCAAATCTAGCTAAGAGAGAGCGTCACATTGCTGACTTTAATGATCTTATCTAAATCTTGCTCTTTTTTCCTTTTGTTTTTTCACTTTCATGTTCTTATCTCTATCTCAAAAACAGAAAGATAAACGAAGAGAGAGGAGAAGAAAAGAAAGATACACTACTAGAAATTCGGCAAAAACCGATCAAAGTTGGTCGGTTTTTCAAAATATTTTTTTTAATTTTTTTTTTTACGAAACCGACCAACTTTGGTCGGTTTTCTTTAGCGCAAAAATGCGAAAAACTATTTTTGAATCCCGCGAAATTTATTTTTCAAGAAACCGACCAACTTTGGTCGGTTTTTCAATTAAAATAAATAAAAATTAATATTAAAAAAACCGACCAAATTTGGACGGTTAATTCGGCCGGTCATTTAAAAAAACCGACCAACTTTGGTGGGTAATTTTACTTTTTAATAAAACCGACCAACTTTGGTCGGTTATTTTCGTGCGAAAATACAATTAAAGAGTATAAATCAAATAAAAGACAGTCTTAAAACAAAATGCACCAATGGTCTAGTAGTAGAATAGTATCCTGCCACAGTACAGACCCCGGTTCGATTCTCAGATGGTAAATCTTTTGATTATATAATTAAAATACTGACCAACTTTTGTCGGAAAAAACCGACCAACTTTGGTCGGGTTTTTTTTTAATATATATTTTTTTTAATTTAATTGACCAACCAAAGTTGGTCGGTAATTTCCGACCAACTTTGGTCGGTATTTCTTTCCGACCCCTAAAATACCGTTCACACATAAATAATCGCGTTTTGGTCGGTTATTGGCCATTACCGATCAACTTTGATTGATTTTTTTGGTCAGTTTTTATCGAATTTCTAGTAGTGATAGTTTATGAGAATGATTGATGATATTCCTGAAAGAAATAAGAGCCGGGTTTTGGAGTAGACTTTAGTTAAGGACCGTTAGATTCTTAATATTTCTTTACGGTAGGATGAAAGTTGCCAAACTTTTGAATAGTTTAGGGATGCTTTTTGTTTACTTAATAGTACAAGGATGTACTTTAAGTTTGAGGTATAATTCAGGGATGTTCTTAGCAAAAACCTCTTTAGAAATTAAGTGATAACATAGATGAAATGCATTTTAAATTCGTTGCAATCTTAAATAAGATTTTTGAAAATATAGATTTTAGTTCAGTAGCTTGAATATATACATACTCGAACTAATTCTGTTGTTAAACTAGTACCGAAAATTCTGAAAACTTAAGATAGTCTGAGAGTGTCAAATTAATAAAGTTGTTGAAATTATCAATATAATATATAAATTACTTCTCACACTCATAGTATATCATTTAATTTTAATAAATCAATTATTTTTGGCTTTAAGGGACTATTTTCAAAATAATTAAACATAAACTGTAAAAACAATTTGTCATACATATATGGGCCCAGACCTAATGCCACCTAGGATGACAAGTCATCATAGGCATACTTTAAAGTAAAGATTGATGGTGACTTTAATATACACTACGTAGTCAAAATGATGACGACACACGCATAGCGCACGCTTGTCACAAGCAAACATTCCTCGTACATATTTTTTACTTTACCCTCATTATACTGAAGAATTATACTCTCAACTCCAATTTAACTACCTTAAATTTGGATTAAAATTAAGGGTAAAAGTGTCATTTGATCAATTAGCTTTGACTTCAAAAATTCTTATAAGATCAACAGATTCTATCCGAATATTCCATCAAATTGTGTCACGTCTCTTTGCAAATCACTCTATTGATCTCCAAAATGGCCATTTCTTCTAAATTTATTGCTATTTTTCTCATTTTTATTTTCCTTTCTTTTCCATCAAAAATCACATGTGAATCTGAAAATAATGATACTACTCAATCAAAATGTGGTTCAGATACTGGACATGGATGTAGAAACAAGAATGAGGCATTAAAGCTAAAGCTTGTAGCCATTGCTTCAATTCTTGTAACTAGCATGATTGGTGTTTGTTTACCCCTTGTTTCTCGTACAGTTCCTGCCCTTCAACCAGATAAGAATTTATTCGTGTTGGTTAAGGCGTTTGCTTCCGGGGTTATACTAGCCACTGGATACATGCACGTTATGCCTGACTCGTTTGATTGTCTTAGGTCAGACTGCTTGCCAGATAACCCCTGGAAAAAGTTTCCCTTCACAACGTTTGTTGCTATGCTTTCGGCTATTTTAACTCTATGTGTGGATTCATATGCTATGAGTTACTTCAAGAAGTATAAATTGGAAAGTGGAGTAGGAAATGGAAGAGATTTTGTTCATAATGGGAAGATGGAGTCGCAAATTATTGACAATAATAGCCACATTCATGGTGAAGCCAAAGTTGATGATAAAGCTACTCAATTGCTTAGGTATCGCGTGGTAGCTCAGGTACAATTCTCACTTCAATAGGATTTACCTGATATAGTCCGTGTTATTGTAGAAGAGGAGCCTTGGAGAAATAGTAAGGTTGTCTCCGCGTGACCTGTAGGTAACAGGTTCGAATCGTGGAAGTAGCCAGTAATGTTAGCATTAGGTTAGCTTGTATACATCACACCCCTTGGGGTGTGACCCTTTCCAGGACCTTGCATGAACGCGGGATACTTTATGCACCGTGTTGTCCATGTTATTGTAATTCTAATATTGACCACGATATTGTATATTAACAATTATGTCTGAATTAACGTCGTATTTAAAAACTTATTATACGACAACATGTCACATATAATATTCTTAACTTATATTTTTCTTATTCACCTTAGTTGATGTCATGGCAATGCAGGTTTTGGAACTAGGAATTGTTGTGCACTCAGTAGTGATTGGATTATCCATGGGAGCATCTGATAATCCATGTACAATTAGGCCACTAGTAGCTGCTATATGTTTCCATCAACTTTTTGAAGGAATGGGTCTAGGAGGTTGCATTCTCCAGGTAAATTTAAAAATAAATATCAAATCTCGTCAAATTTGCAGCTCAAAAATTGATTATATGCTCAATAATTGTAGCTCTAATTTTTATTTTTATTTTTTCGTGTTTAGGCCGAATATGGTATGAAGCTGAAAGGTATAATGGTGTTCTTTTTCTCATTAACAACACCATTTGGGATAGCACTTGGAATTGGTTTATCAAAAGTGTATAGTGAAAATAGCCCAACAGCACTAATAGTGGTGGGATTGCTAAATGCATGTTCAGCTGGTTTATTGAATTACATGGCATTAGTGGATCTTCTTGCAGCTGATTTTATGGGGACTAAATTGCAGAATAGTATGAAACTTCAATCATGGGCTTATGTTGCTGTTTTACTAGGTGCTGGTGGGATGTCTGTTATGGCTATATGGGCGTAATTTGTTTTTTTTTTCGTTGTGAAAAAGGGAAGCATTAGACTTCCTTTTTTTATTTTTCTATTTTTTCTAAATTTTGCTCCATCATCGATGTAAATAATTTTGAACAAAATAATGTAATGAGTTTGGTCTCCTTTTTATATGCTTTAGTACTTTTCACACAGTTGAATTCTAAACTCATTCTTAGGGGCAAATAGAGCCTTAAGGTAACTTTGAAGCAGAACATAAATTTTATAGGTAAATATTTACTAAAATTGCAATAAACAGTAGATATGAATCCACATCTTTAAACATATAACCGGTTCAATACTAAAAATTTTAAAATTAAACGCATAAAATTTAAATTCTGAATAAGTGTTTGCTCTTGCCACCAACGTAAGGTTTACTATTGGAGTCTAATATTGGCCATGCATTCAAGGCTTCAAAGTATAACTAGATGAGACTATTAAGTGTTTTTTCACTACAAAAGGTGCACGTGATGAACTGTACTATGTCTTTGCTATGCGAAAAAAAGCAAGTTTTAACTCTATCTTAGCGACGAAAGCATTGCTCCAATATTTCTGAAGTATTTGCAGACCTCATTTTACATATAACTCTATCTTCTCAATGCAAAATATTAGACCTATTGAAACATTGCGACTATATTAAGTTCTTGCAAGTCCAATTGATGAACTTCTAGCATATATTCATGGGTATGCCTCTTATTTGGCATGTTGCACCTTGTAATTCCATTTGTAAAAGTATTGGATGTGACGTCACTGCATGCGCTTGGACGCAGGGGCGGACCTAATGTATTATTTATGGTTTATCTGAATCCAGCAGCTTTGGTTCGTACTTGTATATGTATCTGAGTTATTGCCGAAGGTCCACACCCTCCTCTTACTTCATTCTGATTGTCGTCTTGAGAAATTTAAATGTGAAAGTTTAATACCTTGTTGTGTCTCTTGATAGATTTATGTTGGGATGTAAAATCAACCCAAAACCTTATAAACTGTTTCATTAGGCCATTTGCTTCTAATTAAAGAACTATCACATGTTCTTGCTACACTAATCATTGATTCCCTGTAATCATCACCACAAGACATTGGCCTTGATATATCATCGTTACTTATTGAGTTTCTTTTTTGTTAAGATCTCATGTTTGAAATTATATCATTAATTTGGGATTTGCTTTTTTATTAGACACAGATCGGTTGGTCTAAAGAGCATCCTTGGAGCAACAGTAAAGTTATTTTCATGTATCTATAGGTTACGGGTTTGAGTTGTAGAAGCAACCACTAATACTTGCATTAGGGTAGACCGTCTACATCACACCCGGCCCCTTAGAGTACGGTCCTTCCCCATACCATGTGAATACGAAATGCCTTATGCACCATCCTCTCTGTACATATGCTTTGCTTTAGTTAATGACAAGTTTTATCTTTCCTATAAAAAAAAGAGAGATACTAAATGCTGCACGCTTACGAACTACTGCTACTTTGTATAGCTAACAGATTCAACCTAATTTGATTTGGTAAAACACTGGTGACAAGGTTGTTGTAGTTAAAGGGTATGCGAGATGAATCTTGGAGAGAATACATTAGTCCGTTAATAGCACATTCAAGATTGCTGTCATTTTTGTGCGCCTACTTCTTTAGAAAATGAAGTAGCAAACTCAAAATTTTATCATTACTATATGAACTATATATGAATTCTATATTAATATTACCGTTGGGACGTATGTGAACAAAATCTTGAAAAAATTGGAAAGCTACGCACCTCTTAATGGTGTGATGCTTTTCGGTGGGCTTAGCCTTAAGCGGACAATATTACATCATATTAAGGGTATCTTTGGACAGTTTTAGCCTAACAACTAGGGAATCTTTTGTAAATACCCATCTACCACAAACTATTTACCCACCCCTACCCACAAAGTTTCCCCTTACCCATTTTTTTTAATACCCAGACATCCAACCAAATAAAGCTAAGCTACTAAAACCAAACCAATTCATGCCAAGCAAGCTAAGCCAAGCCAAATCAAGCCAACCCAAGCCAATCCAATCCAAACCAAGTAAAACCAATTCAAGCCAAATCAAGATATGTTAAGCCAAATGGGTAAGAAAAATGGATGGGTAGGTAGGTTGGGTAATTAGTTTTAATACAATAGGTATATATTGTAACCAGTTTTTAAATGGGTAGAAAAAGGTAATTAGTTTAAGTTTAATGGGTATTTTATATAAATTGCTCCAACACCTATTAGATATGCAAATAAAATTTCACATTGCTAGAAATTGGGAGCCTACATATAAGGTGTAGGGATCTCTTGATTATGTGAGACATTTAGGAAAAAATCATGCGGGTTTGGTCAAAAGCAGACAATATCACATCGTGATAAGAGTATCTTTGGGACGTTTTAGCACACAACCAATATCAAAGTCCAGGTTCGGCACAACAAGTATGGTGATGGCGGAGTGATATTGCAGGGCTCAGTTTACTTACCCTTATGAGATTGGAGATGTGCACACAAGAAGAAGTTAGTTCTGGGCTTCGGTTGTCATATCTAACAATGTGGATTGCATGTAACGATTCGGCCAGTCATTTTGAGTGTTATAGCTCCGTTTCCCCATTTATTGCTTATTTTATGCTCATTTGTTGTTATGTGACTTGATGGGGTAGTTGGTTTGGTTCTGAAAATATTTCGGAATAGATTGGGATACTCAGTCCCAAGATTGGAAGCCTCACAGAGTTGACTGGATGTTGATTTGTGTATAAATGACTCTGAAATGGAGTTTTGATGATTTCGATAGCTTCGTATGGTGATTTTGGACTTAGGACTGTGTCCGGATAATGATTTGGAGGCCCGTAGATGATTTCAGCTTGAATTAAAGAAAGTTGAAAAACAATTAAAGTTTGGAGAGTTGAGAGGTTTGACCGAGAGTTGACTTTGTGGTTACCGGGCTTAGATTTTGGTTTCGAAAGTTAGAATAGGTCCGTTGCATTATTTATGACTTGTGTGCAAAAGTTGAGGCCAATCGAAGTTGGTTTGGTATGTTTCGGCATTAGTTTTAGAAGGTAGAAGTTCATAAGTTTATTAGGCTTGAATCGATGTGCGATTCATAGTTATAATATTGTTTGATTTGATTTGAGACTTCGAGTGAGTTCGTATGATATTTTAGGACTTGTTGGTATGTTTGGTTGAGGTCCCGAGAGCCTCGGGTGATTCCGATCATGTACGGCGCATTTTGGAACTTTGAGAAACTGCTGATTTCCTGTTGCTGGTTTCCTCTTTTGCGATTGCGGAGAAGGAGACGCGATCCCGGGGAGTGTTGTTGGAAGATGAGGAGTTTGTGCTAGTCGTTCGCGAGAATAGTTACGCGATTGCGAAACATCCGCGAAGAAGGAAGGAGGAGGCTGGGAAGTCCACACGAGTGTTCTTCGCGATCGCGTGGAGGAGTCCACGATCACGTAAGTTTAGGATTCTGTACATCGCGTTCGCGATGGGTTGTCTGCGTTCGCGAAGAGTAATTTGGAGGGCTATGATTTTTGTTCTTCGCGATCGTGAGGGACTTTCCGCGATCGTGAAGGGGAACATCTGGGCAGAATATAAGATTTCAAAAATAAGAGTTAGAGTAATATTTTATAATTGGACTTTGGGAGCTCGGATTGAGGCGATTCTTGGAGGGATTTTCAAGAAATTGATTAGAGTAAGTGATTCTAACTCGGATTTGGTTAATATATATGAATCTATCATTATTTTTACCATTTAATTAGTGTTTTGGGTTGGAAAAATTATAAAAATTTCATATAAACTATAATTTGAGGATTTGAAGGTCGAGTTGAGATCGAAATTGAGTAATTTTGATATGGTAGGACTCGTTGTTGAATGAGTGTTAGAATTTTATTAATTTTATCGAATTCCGAGACATGGGCCCCAAGTTGATTTTTTGGGTTGACTTTTTGACCTTTTGTTTTAACAAATAGACCACTAGGCATGCTGCCTAGTAGTTTTTATATTAATAATAAAAAAGAAAAACACACCACAAAGGAAGATTACAAATAAGGGGGACAAAAGTAACAATTGTCTTGCCGCTATGCCTTTGCTATATAATCATCCATCTGCGCCTCCAATACCCTTTGACGCAGCCTCTATAGGCTGCTGGCGTAGTCTCACAAGGGTGAATGATTTTATAGCTATATGGATATATTCCAAAGGCGTAGGAGATGAGCAAGCACATACTGCGCTAAACCTTATCTCACAATTCCTATTGAGGTATTAATAGCCTCAGCTACTAACCAGAATGTAAAAAATATGAAGTAGAACGAAGTAAGTACTGTATGATCATCATAGAGTTTATAACATACTCTATGATGATATTACATATGATTATGCTTAAAAAAAGGTAATATAAAATCATGTATTAATTAATGTCTTGCCCTGAATACTCTAACTTTATGAACTCTTCGACTTGTAGAATCTTGTTTTCTTTATGTACCCTCTTCAAAAAGTATTCAAAGTTCATCATTTCTTCTTTGATCGATTGTACTTGTTGGATCTTGTTGAAGTTGTCGGCACTGTCACTTTTTGTTTTGCAACCCTCATTGCAGGTTTCCTAATGGCAGGTCCTTCTGTCACCCTACCATCCCAACTATGTTGTCTTTCATCTGTCTTGTTCTTGCCCTCATTGCAACCACTTCTCAAATGTCTAGGCGATAAATCCCCTTCCCTAGCTATGTTGGTAAATGATACATGGAGTAATTTTTCCTCTTCCCATTCTTTGTAGAAATCAAGCCCCATATCAATGCCAAAAGGATCCTGTCCAGCTTGTGTATTCGTTACTGCAATACATGGTTGTAAATATTGTTGCTGATGTCCAGCATTTGGAGTTGATATTACTGCTTGTGGCGTACTTGCAATTTGCTTCTGCTGTCCAGCAACTGTTGGTGTTGCTGCATATTAACCAGACACAAGAGTATCAGCTGGAGTGTTTGCAAAAATCTGTTGTTGCCCAGTCCTTTTTGTTGCTGTATTTTTCATCCAGATAACACCTGCTTTGCTTGTTTCAATATGTTCCTGCCCAGCATTTGGTGGGGTTACTGCATTGTGAATGCATGTAGCACCAGGAGGCTTTCT